CCAATTTGCATTCCCACCAACAGTGGGAATGCAAATTGGTGCAGCCGCTCTGGAAAGCAGTGTGGAGGTTCCTCAGAAAATTAAAAATAGACCTACCCTATGACCCAGCAATAGCACTGCTAGGAATTTATCCAAGGGACACAGGAGTACTGATGCATAGGGGCACTTGTACCCCAATGTTCATAGCAGCACTCTCAACAATAGCCAAATTATGGAAAGAGCCTAAATGTCCATCAACTGATGAATGGATAAAGAAATTGTGGTTTATATACACAATGGAATACTACGTGGCAATGAGAAAGAATGAAATATGGCCTTCTGTAGCAACGTGGATGGAACTGTAGAGTGTGATGCTAAGTGAAATAAGCCATACAGAGAAAGACATATACCATATGGTTTCACTCTTATGTGGATCCTAAGAAACTTAACACAAACCCATGGGGGAAGGGAAGGAAAAAAAAAAAAGAGGTTAGAGTGGGAGAGAGCCAAAGCATAAGAGAGTGTTGAGAACTTAGAGCAAACTGAGGGTTGATGGGGGGTGGGAGGGAGGAGAGGGTGGGTGATGGGTATTGAGGAGGGCACCTTTTGGGATGAGCACTGGGTGTTGTATGGAAACCAATTTGACAATGAATTTCATATATTAAAAAAAAAACTTTGAGTGCTTCTGCTGAGATTTATTCTTCCTAAAAACAATCCTACCATTTACCTATATCTGTACAAAAGAAGTTTAGAAAGCATGTCAACCATTTTGTGCAGCACCCTTTATATTTCTTACCAGGTCCCGTTGATCCTCCTGTACCAGATCCATTTTGTGTACCAAGCAAAAGATTTTGGCATCTGGAGAATTCTGCAGAATAGCCTCTAGGCATGATTGGTAATAGTGCATGTCCTTTTCCAATTCACGGCTTTCCACATCAAACACATATATCAGAACCTCCACATTTCTGAAGATGTTGTCTCGCTGGCTAGTGAAATAATTTTCCATGAAAGTGTCCTGTCTAGTAGGAAAAAAAATCTAGGTAGTAAATAAGTCCTTGTTTTAGTCACTCCTATTTACAATGTATTTTTGTTGGCTTAATCAATGTGAAAGATAATCTTACAGCTTCAAATTACTAGGCAAATAAATAATAAAATAAATAGGCCAAAAAGGTATGGCCTCACCTTATTTCTTGAGCCCCACCTTGCACCACTCTTTGCTCCTCTCATTGTGTTCCAAATACACTTTGACCTTCTCTCATTTGGACTAGCCTGTGGTGTACCCACCAAGGGGCATTTTACACATTGTTTACTCTGTTGCACATGCTATTCCCCTATCTCCACATCTAACTAACTCCTACTTGTCCCTTTAGATTTCAGTTCAATCCATATTTCCTCACAGAAACTATCCCTGATATCCCTGTCTTGAGCAAATCCAGTCACCATAGGCCCTAATATAACAGTTTTTTTAATATTTATTTATTTTTGAGAGAGAGCATATGCACAAGTGGGAGAGGGGCAGAGAGAGTGGGAGAAAGAGGATCCGAAGCAGACTCTGTGCTGACAGCAGAGAGCCCAATGCGGGGCTCGAACTCATGAGCCGTGAAATCATGACCTGAGCCAAATAGGACACTTAACTGACTGAGCCACCTAGGTGCCCCAACACTGTTTTTATTTTTCACACTTAACCACAAATGTGATATTACATGTGTCTGTGCAAATTTTTAATTAATGGAATTCACTTCCCTACACAATATATTCCATGAAAGCAAGGATCATGTCTGTTACTATCTGTCGTTGTTTCCCAGCTTTATGCAAAGAGCCTGCCATAGGATAGGTGCTCAGCGAATGTTTACTGAATGAATAACCATCATATACTCTAAACTATATGACAATGACTCCAAGATAACTTTTTATAAGTGTTGTTCTTTGATCCTTAGGCTGTGTACTGCTTACCAAGAACTTCTCAATTACCAGGCAGCCAGTGAAAAAACAGTAGTTTTGTTGGAATTTAAGAAACAAAACAAGTAAGCAAAGGAAAAAGAGAGAGAGAGAGAGAGAGAGAGAGAGAGAGAGAAAGCAAAAAACAGACTCTTAAGTATTGAGAACAATCTGATGGATACCAGAAGGGAAGTAGGTGGAGGAGATGGGTGATATATGTGATGGGGATTAAGGAGTGCATTTATCGTGATGTGCACCGGTTACTGTATGGAATTGTTGAATCACTATATTGTATACCTGAAACTAATGTGAAACTGTATGCTAGCTATACTGGAATTAAAATAAAATAAAATAATAAAAAAACAGTTTTGTCATTTCACAAGCTTTTAGTCTTGTACTTTGTTATTAATTAGCTGTGTGACCTTGGGGGATTCATAAGCTCACTGGACGTCAGCTGCGTTATCTGCAAAATTAATAACACCTTAGTGCCTAAAAGCAAGGAACTATGACTAATCTCTTGAAATAGATTACAGAACTAGAAGAATGATAATGAGGAAGGATTTGTATGGAGAGAGCTCCTAGAGCATTAAGTGAACCATCTGCTAGCAATAATGGAGTCATTTTCTTATAGAATATTTGGCTATTTCATTATTACTTCAACAAAAAACTCATTCAGCACCTGTTATATGGTTGGTTCTATGCCAGGAGCTGGTAAAACACTGAGCTAACAATAATGTCTGTCTATTTTGTAAGGAACTTTCCTATGCATTTATATATCATCTTACTGAATCATCAAAACAACCCTATTGAGTGGGTACCACTATTATCTCTTTTGTACAGATGAAGAAAATGTAGCTCAAGAGTTTAAATAATCTACCCAAGATAACACAGCTAACAGAGGTGTGCTATAAACCCCAATCTAACTCCAGAGCCTAGGCTCCTAACCACTGCGCAGCATGGAGATGCAAATGGCCATATTGTAGGGAGCAATATCCACATATAAGCACAGTGAATGTGCATTTGTGATGGACTATTCTGGAAGTGCCTCAGCCATGAGAGGAAAAACTGTTTCCTACTCCTCCAACAGCTGGTAACTCAGCTGGAGAATATATACTTAGGGCAATCTACAGTGCTTAGACTACCTGGAGATTGAAAATAATAAAGAATGAGGTGGTATGGTATGATGACTAAGAACTCAGCATTGGTGTTATGACACTTGAGATAAAAACCTAATTTCTTCACCTGCAAAAGAGGGTGATAATCTATCCCATACTACAGATACCTAGATATAGCTTATGTTACTGATGATTAAACATGTCACATATGGCATGTTCACAATTACATAAAAGTCAGAAATCTTTAATCAAGTGCCAGTTCTGAAGTAATTTCTATCGAATGTTATCTATTACAAGTGATAGTTACTTTAATGTATTTTCTACATTTGATTATACTAGGTGCTATGATTACTGCCACTGGCCCCACAAACAAGCAGATGGTACTTACCCACCACAGTCCCACAGGTTCAATACCAGGTTTCCCAGAAATCGAACATGAGAATGTTCTACATCAACTGAAAGACAAATATGACAAATCTAGTATTGTAGCATGTGAGGTGAAATTCAAAATAAGCTAACCCAAAAAGAACTAACCCATGGAATTTAGAAGGACCAAAGTGGAGTGAAATGCTCAAAGCTACAACAAGAAGGTGATATTTAGCTTAGTAGTGCAGTTTAGTGGCAAGGTGGGCACCTAAACTAGTCTGAGCTACAGAGCTGGCTTTCACATATGTCATTTTACTTTTTAGTACTTTAGTGCTTAGAGCAGAAACAATCTCCAATTATAATATTAATGTTAACATTTCAACATGTAAGACAGAGACATATACCATTTAATAGCTCTTCTCCAACCCACCAACACCCTCCACAAAAAAACTTAATACCAATACCAAATACAAAACAAGCATAAAACATAACCCAAATCACTCCCTCTATTGGTTTCCCTATTTCAGTTAATGATCCTACCACTGTCTCATTTGGAGGGGGGGGGGAACAGGTCATTGTAGACTTCTCTGTCCACATTCATCGATATTCCTTTGTAATCTCTCAATTCCACTCCTTGTTTTACAACTTGCCACTAACATCAAGGAAGGCCCTTTACCTTTTCAAGCCTATATAACTATAATAGCTCTATAATTATCTCTCATCAGGAAACCTTACCCACTTTACTTCATCCTATAGGCTACTGTCAGGTTCATCTTCTTAACACTACTTTGAACATGTCACTCCCCATTCAAAAAACTTTCAATGGTTCCTCCATGCCTACAGGGGGGCATTCAAGGTCCCTCAGAATTTGGCTTCCAATCTACCTTTATATCCCCAGTGAGTCACATTAATAAAGCCTTTTGCTTCAGTCCAATTTGGTTTATTCATAGTCCTCCCCAACCCCACTACCTCCCCAACCCCTAATATACCTTACACCAGGGGTCGCAAACTTGCTAATATGGGCCAGGCCAGTAAATGTACAAAAGCAAAGATCATCATGTATGGAGAGCAAACATCCATCCAAGAGGATGATGGAGTGGTTGTCAATTACTCAATTACTCAGCTGTAGCTCATTTGTCAGGCATGAATGTGGGATCAAGATGATCATATCTTTAAAACTTCCAATAGTAGTAGGAAATCCAGATTTTTACAGAAACTTTTACATATTAATAACTAATTCCAATTTTTCTAAAACATTGTACAGGCCAAACAAAACATATCTACAGGCCTTATCCAGCTTATAGATTGCCTGTTTGCGACCTCTGCCTTACACTTCTCTCTGTACTCTATACTTTGCCTACTCTGTTCATCTGCCTAGAAAGTCCTCCCCACCTTTCTTTCAAAGTTATGTTCATCTATTAAAACCCAGATTAAATTCCACCTCCTCTAAAAGCCCTACCTGGCCACCCCCACTTACCGTCATCACTCCCTCTGAATTCATTCAAACATTTATTAAGCATCTACTCTCTGCCAGGCACCAAAAATCACAAGGAGGAATAATGAAAATTCTTATCCTGAAAATTTCCTTAAAGTCTAGCAATTATCATTTATACAATTTATGTGACAATCAATCATACAGTGGTGTTTCTTCTATGACTATCTTGAATCTATTGCTTAAATTGACTGCTCTCTAAACTTTGTGCAATTTTTTTCTTCTTATAACCTAGATCATAAGCAGCAAAGCATTATTATAAAAAACATGGGCATTGGAGGTAAACAATTTTAGTTCAAATACCAGCTGTACTTCTCTGTGTGACCTTGGGCAAGTCACTTAACCTCTGAGTATGTTTCCTTTTCTATTAAAAAAGATGGAAGGCATGCTACTGACCTCACAGGATTATTGTGAGGTTTAAAGGAGTTACAAGTGCCTGGCACGTAGTAGGTGCTCAAACTATTTCCCTTCTTCCCCTTACTTCCCCCTCCTTGGAAAAGGAATCATATCTTACATGTCTTTGTATTTCCAACAGAGTCTACGAGAGAGTAGGTGCTCAAACTGCTATTAATTTGAAGACTATGTAAACGGTCTAGTACTAAAAAAAAATGGAAAGAAGTGCTACTGAGAAAGGGAAAGACAATAACAAAAGAAGTGACAGGATTCAGTGACTGTTTAGATATGAAGCACATGGGACAGAAATCTGGTTTCTACTCCCATATCAGAAATTGTTCTCATCAAGTGACCAGTGGCCCCATTATCAAATCCAGTGGACTTTTTAGTCCTAGTCTTACTTTCTGCAGCATGACACTGTTGACTACTCTCTTCTCAAAAAATTCTCTTCTCTTGGCCTCTGATATCATACCTATAACCTCTCTGGCAGATCCTCCTATTCTTCTTTCTGTCCCTTAAATGTTAGAGTTCTTCAGGATTTCACCTTTGGCAACCTACTTTTTTCTCTAGATTTTTCCTCCAGGCAAGCTTTCTATTCTATTTCTGTTATTTACCATTTGGATACTGTTAGCTCATAAACGTGTATCTCTTAATATAGATGTCCCTCTCCCTTTCTGAAACATGTATTGGACATCTTCACCTGAATAATGCACAAGTATCCCAAACTCAGTGTATCCAAATATAACTCATCTCACCATTTTCCCTACAAAATCTATTCTTTCAGTCTTCTCCATCTCAGTGAATTTAATCAGTTGCCTAAGCCAAAACCTTAATTTTATCCTTAAGTCCATCCTTTCCTCTACTATTCCCCCCAAACCTATCAGCAAGTTCTATTACTCTACCTCTTAAATATATCCCAAATTCATTTTCTCCTCACTATATCCACTACCACTACTTTAACCCAAGTTAAGGTCCCATCATCTCTTACCTTGTCTACTAAAATAGTTTCCTAATTTATCAACCTGCTTCTACCCTTGCCTCGGTCCAATCTGTCCTCCATATTAGATATAATGGTCTCTCCAAAATGCAGATTTTACTCCATCCTTCTTTAAAAAGAAAAAAAAAGTCTCTGTATATGTATGATTGTATACACCCAGGAAAAATAAAAAAGGCCAGAAGGACAAGTTCAAACTACTAATGGTGGTTGTCCCTAGGAAGCAGGCCTGATGATGAGGGAAGTAGACTTTCTACACTTCTATAATACCTGAATTTTTCGTATTACTTTTGTAATTACAATTGAAAATTAAAAATAATAAAATCTGATCATGTTACTTTTCTGTTTAAAATTCACTAGGGGCTGCCCTCTACCCTCAGTTCAAACTACCTGACTTGGGTTATAAGACTTTATGATCTAACCCCTACGTTCTGCCTCCCTCTTCTATTCTTCCTGTCCTGCTGTCATAAGAGCAACTGAAAAGAACCAGAAGAGAGCTTTGGAAAATCACATACACTTATGGGACAGAAAGAAGAAAATATTTTTTAAAGGAGTAGGGATAGTTAAAGATAAAGGAAGAAAACCAGGGTAATAAAGCATTAAATAAAAGCCAAGGGAACAGAGAATTTTGAGAAGGTAAGAAATCTTGGAGCTGTCAACAGTGTTTGTGACTAAAATACTTCAAAATCATATTTTTATTGACAAGTTTACTATTCCAACAAACACATTTTAATAGCCCTCTAATAAATTAATTATATCACCATTCTGTATCTTTACCTCAAAGTTTAAAACACAGTAGGCTCTAAGTTTAACAAAATAAAACTGGATTTTTTCAGCAATGACAAACTAGGAAAACATTAAAGGTGATATAATATTTTAGAAGTACTCTTTTACTACTTTTAAAGAAAATCAGCAACTGAATAAAAAAAAACCAGTAAGTTAAAATCAAAGCACTATATGTATTTTCAAGTAGTCTTTAAGTTTAGCAGTAGAATCCAGACTTTTCTTCAGCAATGACAAATTAGCTAATGATACATTCAAGCATTAAGTCCAACATAATTATTTAAAGCATATTTTACTACCTTTAAGGAAATATAGCAACTGCTAGCAAAGTATATCAATAAAGCTCCCACTTGAGATATTCTTAAGGACAAGTGTCCTGTCCCATTCACAGTGCCTGGCACACAGGACGATTGAGAAAAGCACTTGTTGAATAAATGGACTGCTTGAATATATGGGGTTCATATAATTTGCAACATTCTGTTTGTAACCTTTTAATGCTGCTGCTAGATTACTTCAAGTAGCTTGAATAGTTTTGAAATTTGGGTTGCATGACTATTCACTAGACTTAGGGTAGTAAATCAGCCTTTGCTGATTAGCTAAACACAAAAATATTAATTGACTAGAAAAATGTACTTCAGTAAAATGTACATAATTTAAAACACACAAAGAATGAAATTCCCCAGGAATGGTGGCTATAGAACAATGGATAGAGCAGGAGCATATAATGACATTTCAGTTCTAACACTTGCTAGTTGAGTAAGCTCAACTTCTAGTTATGAAGCTAATATAAAGACTAAATAAGAAAGCATAAAATAAATACCAGCTTCCTCTAATATACTGAAACCATATGATTATTAGGTCTAGATATTTAACTTGGGGGAATAGGAACAAATTAAAATCTAGCAAACCAAGACATGAAGAAGTCTGGAGAGGTACTTTTCTAAAAGGAAGTCTCTCAAGGCATGACAAGCCATAAGACCTTGTCCTGACCAAAATTTTTGAGGAATGGCTTAGATGAAAACTAGATGAGGTGCTTATCAAATGTACAAAATGCACAAGCTAAGAAGAATAGCTAACAGAACAGATGAAATAATAAGCATATAAAATGAAAACAGTATCATATCCCTTTTCTACAGATAAGGAAACTGAGGCCCTGAGAGATAATGACTCATCCTGGACTTCACAGTTAACAAACAGTGGGTACAGGAACATAAAGGCTAAAACAAACAAAACTGAATAATTTAATAGATATAAGAATTTATTCTTAGATTTTAAATATTAGCTGTACAAGAATCAAAAGGATGATACGTGTTTTAGTAACAATGTATGTGAAAAGGAATTTTTTTTTAGTATGACTCAATATAATGAAAACCACTCCAAAAAATAAGAGTAGGGGGCTAGACTGTGCTAACAGCAGTGCGATGCCCAGAATAAGAAATATAATAGTCCTACCTTGATCTGATCAGATCACATCTATATTCAAGTCTCAGCACTTTAAGAAAAACATAGACACATTCAAACAAGTCCTTAAAATGCTTCAAAATGATATCAAATGAGGAATATATGAAGGAACTGGAGATATTTAACTTAGGTAGATAAGATTTGGGAAGCAAGGATAGATTGAGACATTAATCATACTCAAATATTTGTAGAGACACAAAGGAACAAAAAGAGGACCAGCTAACAAAAGGGAAATAGATTTAGGGTTCTAACTAAGAAATAGCTTTCTAACTATTAAACCTGCTCCAGGGGTGCCGGGGTGGCTCAGTCGGTTAAGCGACCAACTTCAGCTCAGGTCATGATCTCAGGGTTCATGAGTTCGAGCCCCGCATTGGGCTCATGCTGACAGCTCAGAGTCTGGAGCCTGCTACAGACTCTGTGTCTCCCTCTCTCTCTGCCCCTCCACTACTCTGTCTCTCTGTCTCTCAAAAATAAAAATAAACATTAAAAAAAAATTTAAAGCTGCTCCAATTTTGACAGTATGTGTATGTATGTGTGTGTATATATATGTATGTGTGCATATATATATACATACATATATATATATATGATACTCCCAGTACTTTATAAACAAAAATGAGGTATCCTTCTTTGTATCCTAGGGTGTGGAACATAAACTGTTTTAAAATGTTTGTGGTTCTGGAAACAAGAATGAGATACCTTATGAAGTAGTGGGTGACTTGTCCCTAAAAGTGTTCAAGATGCTAGAAACCCAGATCAGGAATCTTTGAAAGCCAGGTAGGGCAATGCTTTCATCACTTAGAGGCCAAGGACCATGGCAGAATCCAGAAATGCCTGGATGTTGCAAAATAAATTGGCATTACAACCTAGAGACAGAAGAGGTGTTCCAGAAGCATAGATCCACTGAACTGGCAGCCACAGCAGCCCAGTTAGCCTATATTACGAAGCCAGATTTAACATTCAAACAAAAAAGGGCAATGAAACATTTCTCAAGTCAGAGCTGGAACTCCATTGAGAACATCTATATATATATCCAGGAAGAGAAGCAGCAGAGAATACACATCAAGCTAACCTCCTGCCCACAGCCCCCGCCACCCAGAATTTACCTTTTAATGACTAACAGCTTTAAAAAAGTCTTAGAGATTTTATTGTTATGCTTGTTAGTACCTATCATGTTATTTCCTTTTATATAATAAAAACAACCCCCCACAAAAAAGGAACAAATAATCAAACAAAAGGGTCCCTATGTTTATTTAAGAAACAGCAGGATAAAAAACAAGTTGGACAAGGGTATCCTACTTGGTAAGCAACCTAGAAGGGACCTTCCCAAGAGAGCAAGTAGTAGTAACCAGAATTAGGCCACACCCCTCTGGGAAGGAATGAAAAACAAAGGAGAAACATGTTCCAAAACAAATCTCTCAACCTCTGCATCCCTAACTTAATGCAATCAAGTGCCTTATGCAGACTATTAATAGTTAAGATCACCTGATTTCACAATAAGATAAAACATCTTACTTGTTGCACCAAGGCGACGTGTGTCTCTGGCAATATAATTTGCAAAGATAATAGACCTCATACTGGTCTTACCAGACCCACTTTTACCCATCAACAGCACCTAATGAAAAAGTGAGAAAAAACAATGAAGTTAGAAATCTAGAGCAAATCAAGTCTAAAGGGACCTATTTCTCTCCTGTACTTGATGTTTTACTGAAGTGACAGTACCAACAACCTGCTGCAGATACTTGTAACTAACTAGTTCCCTGACCAATGGTGAATACAGAGATACCTAAAATTCCAGGGACCAGGCACTTACCTGTCATGGATCACACATCCTCTTGGCAATATAATCACATGAATTTATTATGCTACCATTATACACTATCATATATTCAGAACTATGTTAGAGAAATAACAACTTGAGGAAATCAAACCCTGACTCATAATCTAATGCTTCATGCACTGAACTACCTGGCAGGGGATTTCATTGTAACTGAAAGTTCCTCCTCCTGATTAGGGTCAACCTTTCCACCTCTGCCCTTGGTCTCATGCTTTCTACTTACTCTATGATTTTATTCTTTAATTACTCTGTATATTTTTTCTTTTTAAGTGTCCCATGGCCTACAAGATCAAGTCCTTAAACAACATATAAGACCTTCCTTGATCTGGCTTATCTAATTCTCTGTAATTACCTCCTGACCTTCCTGGCCTGGAACTTTTAGAGTCCAGCCATACTGAACTGAACTAAACTGCTTATATCCACTTTGATTGCTCCCAGAACTCCAGGCAGCCCAGCTCTATGTCTCTGTTTCATGCTGTATTCTCTGCCAATAACTTTCCATTCATTTTTCTTCCTTCAGCTAAGTTCCATTCATCTCTCAAGACTTGGTTCAGTAACCAACTCCTCAAGAAGCTTCTCTGATCTCAATGTCCTAAGCTGGCTTGGGTGCATCTCACCTCTTTCCTCCCATGGCACTTGTAGAGCATTGCAAAGACCATAATGCACTGTGGTTATCTGGGATTTTTTTGGTCTTTCACAAGACTCTGAGTTCTTGAATAGCAGGGAGAATATCCTTTGTATCTCCAGTGTGTAACATATAACAGGCGCTTAAAATATGTTCATCAAAAGAATGACCAAGCTATCAAAACAAAGACATAAACCTAGCAAGTTTTTAATGATGAGAACTTTCCAATGGAAAAGGTGAACTTATGAAGGTGAATAGCCATCATATCAAAGTCAGCACCTAACAAAGACAGAAAAACACCTATCAAAGATACTGTAGATTCCTGCACTAGGAGGGAATTTGGTAAGGTAACTTTTCATTCTTTTCAAACTTTAAAATTTATGGACTATAGTTCCAATTACCTTGCTTTTCAAATGAAGGGGGTATATCTTCAAGCCCTAAATAATTTACGAAATTTTCTAATTACAAATGTAGGGAGTATTAACAAAAGTGTATTGCACTCAGACTCAATTTAATCTAATCTAGCTATTTAGCTACATAACTTTATCTCACTAACAAAATGTTACTGACAAGCCAGTCTAAGGCTGTTGGAAAAATAACTTTGCTTTATTCTTAATCACACAGAAATTTCTGGTATTTTTAGCCAACCTTATTGACAGCAACTTTATTTTTTTAAGTTTATTTATTTATTTTGAAAGAAAGAGAGAGTGTTAGTGGGGAGGGCAGAGAGAGAGAGAGAAAGAGAATTCCAACCAGGCTACACTCCATCAGTGCAGAGACAGATGTAGTGCTCCATCTCATGAACCATGAGATCATAAACTGAGCCAAAATCAAGAGTCAGACACTCAAGTGACTAAGCTACCCCAATAGCAACTTTGGACAGGCTCATTAAGAACATTCCTTTAGCAAACTGAATTATATAACTGAATTATTGGATGAAGTTACGGGTAAATATGGTGTTTTTCTTGTGTTTTTTAATTTAAGAAATCTTCAACTGCTTAGGAAAGAGTAACCAAGGCTAACGGTGTTAGGTGCTAACTTAAGGCCTACACATGCATTTACTCATTTAAACTTCATAACAGCCCTATGAGATAGATCATATTATTATCACCATTTTACAAATGAAGAAACTGAAAGCCCAAATTTCAGAAATTTGCTCCAGAACTGTGCCCTTATTGATTCTGTCTAACCCCCAGGTGGGGCACAGTACCATAAGAGCACAAGGGAAGGAATGTTCAATTCCACTTGGAAAACTCATATAAGCCATTATAGAGATAACATTTAAGTTGGGTTCCACAAAAATGTGCAGGAAGACGCCTGTTTAGTGTTTGTGTATGGCTTGCACAAAATGCAAATTCGTAATTTGTAGAAAAACAGATTCTGTAGAGCTACAACAAGGTGCACAGGTGTGGCAGACTGGTTTAGTCAGGAAAAGATTTTTAAAGGGCATTCTATACTATGAAGTCACTTGAATTTCATTCTATGGGCTTTGGGAAGTATGTGAATGACCCAGTTAGATTTAAATATTAGAAAAATTAAATCTGATCGCAGAGAAGGGGATAAGAGTCAAAGAGAAAATGTAGAAGATTCCTGAAATGGTCCAGGAAAGATGATATATATACACCACAAATTTATTTCCTGAATGATATCTTCCTACCTTCACTTTTATGTATTTGATGTAATTAACATGTCTTACCTTTTTCTTCATGGCTGTATTTGGTAGCACCCACCTGCAGATATAAACCAAAAGACAGTTTCCAGGATCCATTGCCTTAGAAATTGGAATTTTAAAAAGACAAATAAATGTGGAGTTGCAAAAGAACATGTTTAGCACAACAGCTGAGTACAGCTGTGTGCAAGAACTTCGTTAAAGAGGTCCTTGTTCTCCTAAATTATAAAACTGGATTCAAGTTCCCTAACCCCTAATTACAGTGCTCAGGAGACGGCTCCTAAGGTTTATTTAGGGATATAAATGAGCCATAAAATTCAAGATTTAATTTTTTATTATCTTAAAAAAATTATCAAAGCAACATATATAAGTGCTTTAGTGAAACAATACTGTCCTATTTGAATGTCCTCTATTATTTTTAAGTTAGCCTATTTTTAAAACCTGGAAGTATGTTTAGTCAGCTGTCATATTTTATTCATTACATGCACAAAGTATATACAATAGAAATCTCAAGTTCAGGAACAAAAATGCACTGAAAGTACTCTCAAGCCACTGATCTCTGCCCTGGAAATACCAACCTTCTCCCTAATCATCTTATCCTCAACATGATGATGTTAAATCTCCTTTACTGATAATTCAAAGAAACTCAAAACTATCTTCTCAATTAGAACAGTTCCCTCAACCTCAGGACTAATATTAGGCTCATCCCAAGGGTTGTTTCTGCCCAGTTAACGACCAATCGATCCTCTTTCCAGTTTATCCTGTCACCAAAAGCATGACACCAATCAACCTTACTGGTAAATCGAAGCAATTTATCATAGGTGGGGTGTTCTAATTCATGATATTTTCTTCAGTTAGAACCCCCATTCTAGGTTTGACATAATAAACTTCACCCACCCTAGCGATCCTTCAGGTTCCCCTATGGGAGGATCCATTCTTGGCCCCAGATTCTCTTTCTCCATCTTTCTCTCAGAGTCAGATTCTTCCATCGTGCAACAAGTCCTTTCCAGTCCTTTCTAAACCGCAGTACTCCTTTTCTTTCTTTTTTTTTTTTTTTTTTTTTTTTTTCCTTTTTCCCTGTTCACACCCTCAGTCGCTTACTTTAATTGCCTGTGGCCGCTAGGCCTGCTCTATTCTTGCCTCCGCCTTTGTCCACTGGGGGGCTGCTTTCCCCACGGTTACTTTAAACCGCCTTGAACTTGGCCTCAAGGAACAGCCTAGCTGGCCAGTTCAAAGGCTAAATGATGTGGTGGTGCAAAGGAAGAGACGGAGGATGAGTGAAAGAGGAGTGGTGGGGACTCGTGTCGAGTTTGGGCCTCAAGACCCAAAATCTCGAAACGCAAATGTGACTTCACCCGAAAAGAGGTGGAGACGGCGGAGGTGGCAGAAAGAGCAGACCCGTGCGGTAGGCACTAAGTAGTGACTGTCCCCGCCGGCTTGTCGTTACCGACCCTGGTCGCCCGAGAGCGTCCGCCGGCAGCGGCAGTTATGACCTAAACGCCCGCCCTTCAGGAGCCCAGGTACCTCACCGCAGGCACCGACAGCAGGCCAGGATCACGTGGGCACCTCCTGTAATCCCAAAGCCCGTCACGTGACGGCTGCTACCCAAGGGGCGGGTGGACTGTGAAGACTACCATAGATACTGCGGGGAGAAAGAGCGTCACCAGTCGCCATAGCTGCTATCGCTCCGCCTTGAGTCGGGTGGGAAGCTAACATCCTGTAAACTGTTTCCTTGTGGGCTGGCCTGGCCCAACTGGCCTGCCACGCAGAATTAAAGGAGACGTTTTCAATTTCAGTGCTTCAACGCTAGCTTCTTTGTGTGTGTGTGTGTGTGTGTGTGTGTGTGTGTGTGTGTGTGTGCGTGTGTGTTTTTGTTGTTGTTGTTGTTGTTGTTGATGTTTTGTTGTTGCTGTTTTAATTGCTATTTCACCCATAACATTTTTCTGTGAGGAAGGCCGAGCATCGTTTTTGTCTTCCTGCTTTTTAAGTCTTTGTCTTCTTTTTATTACTAGTCCCTGTAACTGAGCTTGTAATGAAATGACTTATTACATCCAAAGTGATTACAACTAAGTCTTTCGAATACTATGCACACAATGAAAGTTATTGCTGGGACCAGGTATTCATTGGGAAGTCTAGAAAGCATACTCATCTCCAAACTTGTTTAAAAGTGGAAGGGAAATAAATTCTCACTGACCATAGTAAGAAGTCAATAAAGTCTAAAATTGATAATGAAGGGACATTGATAGGTATTTATATAATATATTTAGACATAGAGACCTCCAGATAAAATGGCCAAAAAAGTTCAAAGGGGTTGCTTCTGGAGAGGAGCAGGATAAAGGAAGTGAGGGGACTATTGCTTTTCATCTTAAGCCCTTTTGTACTATCTATCTATATCTAGAGATATAGATATAGATGGGTATATCACGTGTATATGTTACTTAATAAGAAAGGAAAGAAATAATGACAGAAGGGAGGGAGGGAGGAAGGAAAGTAGGAAGGGAAAGGAAACTGGATAGAACCAGGGTGCTATCTGCTTCCAGATTTCCCCAATTGCTGTTCTATATGATCCCTTCTCACCACAGCTGCCATACCTCATGAAATACTTATTTCATTCTGATCACAGCTTCCTTAGCCCTTTCACTCCCTATTTTACTCCTTCCTACCCACCAGCTTCCCCCAAACAAGTATTTGTTCAATTTTGTGTGTGTGTGGTGAAAGACTGAGTCCCAAAACCCTCCATAGATTCATTAGATTCGTTGCCGTCCATACCAGACAGTGAAACTAAGCCATGCTTAGTGTCAAAGATAAACAGAGTCTGAGTTAAAGCAGTGAAAACAGATTTTATTCAGTAACTACTGACAGTAGAAGGAAAAGCTGAGCTCCATTCCAATATGTGCAGAGGTAATTGGGCCTTTTAAAAGGACAATGAGGGAGGGGGAAGAACTGGGCTTCATTTGAGTCAGAAAAATGAAAATCTATAAAGGTTGGTCAGTATAAATGCAATTAAGCTGTTTGTTAGCAGGCAGTTATCAAAGTCAGGAATCTATCTTCCCACAGAGACTTGAAAACAAAAGCCCTATCCTTCCTGATTATTGTATTTCAATGGGATGGCTTTCAAGTCCTTGAAAAAGACACTTCTGAGTTGTAAGAGATACATATTCACAATTGTAAGCCCTTTACAATAATCTGAGAAAAATAGGTCAGGGACCTATCATCAGGCTATATAGAACAAACAGTAAATTATCTTTGATGTGTTGAGCTTTCTCAGGCACTTTAATGGAGGTTTGGAATCAACAGACAGCTGGGAGTCATCCTAGGGGCATGAAAAGTCTCTTCCTGCAGGGATTTAGGCAGAGTTATGTGCTGAGAGTTCTGCAGTTCTCATTAGCCCATTTTGTACAATTTGTCTTCTTCTCCCTTTTCTTCTGCTATCTTTGTTCCAGCTGCTATAATATCTGGCCTGGATAATTGAAATAGACTGCTAAATTATTCTCCTACAGTGGCAGCTCCAACGTTGTTGGGAGTGGTTGAAATAATCTTCATCAGTCATCTCACCCCAAAAAACCATTTAATGTAAGTAATATGTGCATGTTGTGTAAAGGAAGCTTTCAAACATATTCTCCAACCCTCCACTACCACCAGGTATCACCAGCCAAATTGTTCCCTTACACTCTTCTATTACAGAAATTCACTGTATCCCTGTTGCCTGTTTCCCTTTCCCTCCCCCTCTCAGAAACATCACATGTATATACCCACCATGACTACTTCCCTCAAGGTCCATGAGGAACAGATGAAGAAAGGGAGAGGAAAGGATGAAGAAAAGGGGGAGAAGTGAGGAGATGAGAAGAGTGAAGAGAAAGAGGAGAAAAGAGATGAAGAAAGAGGAGAAAAGGAGTAGGAGGATGGGAGTGGAAGAGAGGGATCTGAAAAAAGATTGAGGAACTAAACTGAATTGAGTTAATTGCAAAGTAAATGAATAGGATTGTTGATACAATGCATTCCTATATGGTCTAGAATTTGAGATTCTGATTTCTACCCAGGCATCCTGGGATGCTTATTTTTATATTTTCATTGACAAATCTTACAGAAATAAAAGATAAAACTTTTTGTCAAATTAATTTTTATTATAAGTACTTTTCAAAAAGTGTTGATTAAACTTGCAGAGTTATTTATGCATCCATTCAGGAAATATTCATTGAGCAGCCATTCAGTTCCAGGAGCTACGTTAGACACTAGATATACAAACATTTCTCTATTTCAGGTCCTTACTGCATGTGAGATGCTTCTTTCTGACACCTCAGCTTCACTATATTCATATGCACATAAAACAAATCAGCATTCTGTCTATCCACATCCCACCCCATATTTTTTCAACCATCCATCTCAGCAAGAAAAAGTAATAGAGACCCCTAAGATCCAATAAGATATCTTTCCTTATATTCTCTAAACCCATTCTAGTCACTTTTATCCTCAACAACCACCATGGGTCTCCAAATTGGTCATCCAGTTCCTAAACTGTCCCTCATAACTTCCCTGATCTTCTTTTTCTCCACCTCTGCTTCTTTCCCTGTTCCCATAGCTCACTGCTATTTTCAAGAGCCCCATGAGCTTATCCCTACATCTTTCTTGCAGTTCTTTATTCTCCATTCTCATCTCCTTGCTTGAAATATCAGGAAATAATCTTCCAGTTAACTAGACTTAAGGATTTTATGAATGAAATTCTAATAGAGGGACTTCTGGTTTCATGTACAACATGTAAGTAGATTAGGAGTTGCCAATCCATACTAACAAATAAAAGGCTGAACAAGCTGAAAAAACAACAAATCTTAGATTCATCAGAGAATTGAAGCCACAGGAAAAACTGCTAACCCTAAAACTGGAGAGACAAACAGGCAGACACAGAAAATGAAAACTTCAAAACAGAACACCAGCCCCCCCCCCAACAGAAATATCTGTAGGAACCACTATTAGGGTAGAAAAACCTAAATTATAATAGACAATTTGTTGGAGGTTCAATGTGGACGAGTCTGAGAGTTAAAAGCTCCAGGGCATCCCAGGGGCACCTGGGTGGCTCAGTTGGTTAAGCATCTGACTTTGGCTCAGGTCATGATTTCATGGTTTGTGAGTTCAAGCCCCACATTGGGCTCTGTGCTGACAGCTCAGAGCCTGGAGCCTGCTTTGGATTCTCTGTCTCCTTCTCTCTGCCCCTCCCCCTCTATCCCCAAAATAAATAAACATTAAATTTTTTTTTAAAAAAATTCCAGGGCATCCCAGTCAGAGAGAGGCCTCCATACTTTTGTGAATTTTACCTCCAGGAACTCTACTAAGTTTTCAGTGAGTGTCAGAGAATATTACCTTCCTAATACTGGAAGTGAGAGGTGAAAAGTAAACATTTTGAAATCAACTAGAACTTTCTGTTCTTATTAACAAGGCTGGACCTCAGGAGAAACTACTTTACTAGAGCCTAACTTGCTGGGGTTTTATCAGTGCATAGCCTACCTAAGGAAAGAGAAATGCCCAACTCCAGCCCACTTTAGACATCCTGTCCCACCCAGAAAAAGATAAACCTGAGAAGCACTGGTTAAGTTCACAGTCTAGAGACACAGGATCACCAAAGACATACATTACTGAGAGACTATAGATTACAGCCCCTACACAAACACACACACACACACACACACACACACACACACACACACACAGACACCCGCACACATACACATTCATACCACAGTAATACTAAAAGTCTATTTGCCTAAATTCCTTCCACCTCTACATTATCTATGTTATGTGCGCCTTCAACAAAAAATTACAAGTGATACAAAGAGGCAAAAAACACAGTTTGAAGAGACAGAACAAGGATCATTATCAGAGACAGATATGCCAGAAATGTTAGAACTACCCAAACTGTTAATTTAAAATAACTATGATTAATATGCTAAAAGCTTTAATGGAAAAAGCAGATAACATGCAATAACCAATAAGTGATGTAAGCAGAGAGATTGAAATTCCAAGAATGAATAAAAAATAAATGTGTGAAATAAAGAACACTGTAACAGAAATGAACAATGCCTTGGTTGGACTCATAAGTAGACTAGACACAGCTGAGAGAAGAATCTCTGACCTTGAGGATGTATAAAGAAACTTCTAAGACTGAAAAGCAAATATTAAAAAGACTGAAAAAAAACAGAGAAATACACACACACGTGTGTATATATATATGTGTGTGTGTGTGTGTGTGTGTGTATATATATATAATGGACTATGGGATAACAACAAAAATGTAACATATACATAATGGGAATATCATAAAGAGAAAAAAGAAGAAGGAGCAGAAACAATATTTTAAGCAATAATGACTGAGAATTTCCTCCAACTTAATGTCAGACATCATCATAGACTCAGGAAACTCAGAAAACACCAAGCAGGATAAATACCAAGAAAAGAAAAAACTGCAACCAAGCATATCATTTTCAAATTACAGAAAATCAACATAAAGAGAACATGAAAAAAAAATCTTGAAAGAAGCCAGAAAGAGCCCACATTATTTCCATAGTGGAGCATAG